ATTATCGAATAAAAGTAATTATTTTCATTGTAAGATTATACGAGTATTTTTCTCGTGTCAGAAAGAAAAATTGCATTTTAATTAACGCTATTGCTTTTATTAATAAACGTTGAACATCCAGATATGAAATATTGAAGTATAATTTATATATTGAATTTAATTTATATTTTAAATATAGCACTTATATTATGTGCTTATTTTACATATAAATCTTTCAGTTTGTAAGTACAAAAGTAATTCATTTCAAATATGAAATATCTTTTATTCGTAATTGTTTGTTTGTAGTAGTAATCTTATCGTGATCTCTAGCATACAATATATCCGCGTTATTATTAATAATTTTCGCGATTCTAACAATGTGATGCGATAAGATGCAGCGACGGATGGCGTATTCGGATGCGAGATTACTGACAATACCTGCATTATGTACGCGGTGCTGATGACTCGATCTCGGAGCGACCGCGATGTTCTATTATATAGAACGTTGATGAACTAATCTTTGGGGTAAAACATATAATTTGCACGATGCTGATTTATTAGTACACTGCCGCGACTAGAAGTTGATAAAAAATGCATAAGCTAGGAAGCACTTGATGATAACAAATAGAGAATTTTTATCTACAATTTAGAATCTCATTTCCAAGCCGTCTTAAATATTTAATACTTGAATAGTTTAATGGTCATTATTAATCTCGTAACGTTTGACAGACCTCATCCAATTTTAATCCAGGAAGCAAACGTTATTTTAATACGAATTTATCGTATATTTTATAGTGATGAATTAAATAAGATATAAATAAAATACAATGAGGGGGAGATGTCTCACAAAATTATGAAATCTCCATTTTAAGTTTAAAGTAAGATTATTTATCGCTAAAGTCGTTTTCTGTTTAATGAAATTTCTATACCAGAAATGGGCTATAAATAGTTAATGGAAGATCATCGGACGAAAAGCGACGAATCGATACCCAACTGAAATGAAACGGTTTGGCGTTCCGACATATACACGAGTGGCGATAGATGAACCGACGATAAATATTAAAGCACGCGGTTATGAAAGGCAAACGAAGGCGCATGGAGAGAAGGTCATCGAACCTGCGTCACTCTCAAACTCGTTTCCGCGGATGACTCGGGAGGAATTCAGCAACGGAATAATCTCTTACCTAATCGTCGCTCTTATATCATTGATTGCGCTATACTTTTGCGTTTGTCAGTCATTCAAAGCTGAGCCGTATGTTAATTTACTGACTGTGCCTGATTTTTTGGCGAGACATTCGGTTGCTACATTGTTCATAAACAGCGTTATAATAGTCTTACTTTCTTTTATCGATGACTTAACGGGAGGTAGCTGGAAAAAAAGGGAAGAGGGAAAAAGGAGACAAGACATTTATTGATAAAATGAGATTAAAAGTCTGAGATTTAATCGAGTCGTCTTGAAGTTCTCTTCCTCTTAGTTTTACGTCGTCTAAAAATGTTAGTTCTTTTGTAAAAAAGAAAAAAAAGAAAGGTTTCGTGATGCAAGATAAACTTCCAAACGATAGAAGAAAGTGCAAGATGTCTGCGTGAGAATAAAAAATCGCGGAAACGCACCGACGCGTGTTCATCCTGATGCGATTCTTTGCGCTCATTGAAAGAGAGTACGGATAATAATTCAACAAGGACAAGTAGGCTATCGTAGATCAGTGAAAGTCTATCCAAGCTGATGAATGTAGGAAAAAAGTCGACAGTCTATCCATTATTATAGGACAATGATACGTTGATGGAATGACGAAGAGTTTATATATTTTAATTTATTCTATTCTGACAACGTAATGAACTACTATTTTCTCTATTCGAAAGTCTTTCGCGGTTTCCAACTTCTCGTTCATTAAAATTAATGATGTATACTTCTGATGTGTTAGTCGGTAAGGGCTGCACATCGAGAATACTTTTCAATGTGTTATTCATGCGGCACATGCCAGACATTTATCAAAAACTTGCATATAGTTAGCAATCATATCATAGCAATTATGATAGAATTTATTGTTAATTTTTATTTCTTTTAGAATCAATCAAACTTGATACTTTTATTATACGTATAATTTGATAATTTAATGGTGATTATTTCGCTTGTTAATTCTTTTAGGTTTAAACAAATTTTAATCGATTTTTATTATCAAAAACTATTTTGGGTCTTGAAAAATACGGCGATAATCAGAACGGATATTTTTAATGACGAGGAGAAATCAGACTCCATATTGTCAATCGGATTTGTAAGCCGCCGGCGGAAGCCTTATGTATTTAACAATGACTCACATTTCCAGGAGTGTAAGTCATCCCTTTTCTCACCCGCGATAATGCGTCGCGCGCCATTGTTTGCCTGCCTACCCGAAATCGACTGTTCTTTCTTGCTATGACATGCTTCACCTAGTTTCTGCCCTTTTTTCTTGTCGACACTCGTAGGTGGACGTCACGTCGTCCAGTTTTACGTGAAATTGCCGCAATTTTCATTTATTTCTTTCATTCTCGAGAACACCAAAATGTAACTATAATAAATTCGTATAACATTATTTAAAGAACATCCATTCACAACTAAATTATCACGAAAAATATGATAATTGATTATTAGTACGTATGTTAAGTAGGAATAACAATTAGTTTCGAAGATAAAGAATCGAATGATACGTTAATAAAAAAATATAATGATAATAATATTGCAGAAATTTGCTTGATAGTTTTGCAATAAATTGCACGATGTATTAACGATGATTGTATTAGAATTAAATTTGCAACGGTATGGAGAGACTACATTATTTCAGTCATGAATAATGATCTAACACGTCGAGTTGTTGAACGTTTAATTGATGATAAGATAATAATTTTATTAAATAAATAGAAGTGGGATAAACAGACATTATTAGGGATAGGATATATTATCAGTATTTTAATGACCGTTTCAGTCGACACTAGTTCAGCTCTCAATTGACGATGAGGTTTCTTTGATTAACGGTTCGGCATCCGGAAAAAACTTTCGAACAGGTTTGACCTTAATGAGTTGTTTGCATTTTACACACATATATTTTGCAACGTATTAATTTTTATTTTATTGCTTTTTTCTAAAGATAAAGATTTTTTTCCGTATAATATTATTGTAAACCCGATCGATGAGAAAACATGAATGGTCGTGCCATCTTTGATTTTTTTCTTTCTTATCTCTGTTTTGGGTGGATATAATTGCAAATATCTTATTTAAAACGTGAACTATATATTAAATGCACTAGCAATTGACGAATTATAATTATGAAGTAATTAAAAAAATCACTCGGGAATATAAATGTGCTTAAAGCAATAATTTAATTATAAAAGAATACACAAAATTAATAAATTAAGGCTTCTGTTATTAATTTTTATATGTACTTATAACATTTATTTAAAAAATGGAAAAGTTCTCTCGTGATCATATGTACAGAACAATGATCAAGTATAACTGTGGCCTTGGCTGGAGCTCGAGCCGTTTCCGGAAGAGGTGAATACCCGAAACGCATCGCTGCGTCTTAGGGCTGGAGCGTGTCGCGAATAGTTCAAGTTTTCTACGCTTCGTGTAAGAAATCTGCCATACGGTCGATATTTTCATTTATTATCCGAAGTTCTTATAAGTTTGAAGGTCGAAGAAACTCGGTCGGATAATGTTATTAAATTTTATCGATCGTTCTAACACACCCAAGTCAGCAATTCATAATAATATATATAACGAGTGACTGATAACATCGAAAAATATTCACCTGAGAACTGTTTCCATTACTTTAATAGTTTCAATTGTGAAATACGACATTATAAAATTTACTTTTTACCTGTTTTGACAAAGATATGAAAAAGAGTTAATTTGACAAAGGACACTGTTTACAAATTGATTGTGAATTTTCAGTTTTCTTCAAAAGTGTTGTTACACTTAGATTTCAATCTGTGTTTAGATTAATATACGTATTAAATAAGTATGCAATTCCTCCCCCCCCCCATTTTTTAAGTATATCGTTTGGAACTTTCCTTTTGCTTAATTTCGTCTCTATTTTCGACCATCGAATCGTACGGTTTGTCGATCAATTAAAAAGTCCATGACGATCTTATCGGTCCGGTAATGCAGAAGAAGAAGCGAACGCATGTCGGTGAACGTCCGCGGGGGGTCGTCGACCCTGGTCGACCAGCAACTGTAGAAGGAGAAGACCTCGATCGTCTTCCTCGGCTTTAATGCCGGAGTCGTCTTTTGTGCCGCTTTCACGACACTGCCTGCCTTCGGCCTTGATCCTCGTTGCTGAAACCTAGACCGCACGGTAGTACGATGTCGTCATCGAATCTTGAAGCTAAAAGGCCGTTTCACTTGCAGACTCGATCACATTATAAAATTCCTTTCATATATATACGAAACTTCCCAGATATGTAAAAGAAAGCTCGATATTTCATCAGGTTATATATCGTGATTAAGATTTCGTACCTTTCTTCTACGAATGATACGAGCTTTTTTTAAATGACTCGATCCTGTTTTATCCGCTATAATATTTATTCAACAAAGACCAATTTGTTTTTTATGTTCACAACAAATGTCTGATAATTCTTATGCAATTTACAATTTGCGACAACATGTTTATAAATACAGTTTTATGAAAGTAATCAATACTACGTTATCTTTAATGAAACTTTAATAAAAAAATTTGTTTTCGTCAATTTATATAAGCTGCACTCACATTTTGTATGTTCTCTAAAACTGGCAGAAAGAATTATAATTATCTTTTATTATATATCATTGTGGATTAACTATTAAAATATTTTTAAATATCAAATTTAAATTTTATTTTTCTAATGAAAATAAGCTTTGATCAGATTATTATTTTCATTAAATATTATATTCTAATACTTATCGACTTTATCATTATCTTTCTATTTTTTCTATTATCGCGTTATCTGGAGAACACATTTTTAGCAAGAATGATTCACATACTGACATTTTTCTTATGTTCTCTTTTTAGCAACTGTTCCGCAGTCAACCGCAAGGTGCGACACCGCAACAATTGCAACTGTTGCAGCAACAGCAGCAGCAGCAGCAGCAGCAGTACCTAGCCGCATCCCAGGCACAGCAACAACAACAGCAGCAGCAGCAACAGAATTTTCCTACGGCCCCTTACACAGTTATCAGCGGTCAGGAGCCTTACGTGGGTGCGTTGATAGCTGGTGCACCACCGCCAGTAGTACCGCAATACTATGGAGTCGGGCCCTGGGTTTATCCGGCCGGATTGCTGCCGCAAGCACCACCCCAAGCGGCCGCGCCGCCACCACCTCGACGACCGCTCACACCCTCCTCGGCAGCAGCCGCAGCTGCTGCCGCACAAGACACTGCAAATAATCTAGCACAGACGGTGAGTTAATTACACATGTTATTAGAAAATAATTTGTATTATTTAAACAAATTTTCAATATTTTATGAGAATTGGTATTTTCGGAAAACATTAGTTTAAATTAGAAATTATCTTCGATAATGTATAAATTTGAAAAATGAAAAATTTATTACGTTTTACCAGATTTTTAGTAGAAATTCTTTTCTTAAAAGGAAACGCGATAGCACATACGGAATACATACATGCTTTTATGCTATATGTATTTTGATATAAATCGGGCTACGGCGATTATTGTGGTGATACGTAAATCATGGTCATTAAATAAAAAGGTTAAATTTAGATTATAACGATGAGATGGAGAACTCACGAATTAGCGCGTACTGCGAATTAGATATGTTTCTAATTCTGTAAAAGCTATTTTCTTCTCGCTTGTGGCGTGAGTAACCGATGATATTTGTTTCTGTTCTTGACGTGCGACGAAGAGCGTTCATTGTGCCAATTAGAAACTGCCGTATTGCCCACTTCAATCTAGCTGAATATTTTGCTACAATAACAATTAGAGAAAAAGATTGGAACTGCAAGACACCATGCGATATTCTCGATCTATAAAACTAGATTTAATTAATTTGGCAAATTGCGTCTTGTTAAATTTTTAATTTTTTTTGTTGACGTTAAGTTTAATTGTCTCAAGTTGTATTATTGATATATTTGGATATAATTATATCCAAATTATAATTGTGATTAATAATTGTTACGCAATATTTACTATAATATGTAATTAATATGTAATTAATATATAATATGTAATTAATATCATTTTATTTTTACAGGTTCAGGGCCAATATCAGGTAATACCGGCTTATTACGATCAGAACGGTTCCATCGTTATGGGAGGCGTACGTGGTTTGAGCTCAGCAGCAACTCCCATGAGATTAGTTAGTCCCGCGCCAGTTCTCGTGAACAGAGCCCCGTCTCAACCTCCTCCGGGTCCACCAGCTCCACCGCCACCCAACCTATATTCACAACCGACTCCAACATCGCACAGCAATGCTACACCCGGCGAATGCTTAGGTAAGTCTAGCAAAAATCTTATCTGGCACACTATTACTATTGTTTTTTCTTTTTTTTTCTTTTTATATATATATAAACACATCTGTAAGAAATCTTGTAAAGTTATATGTGTAACATTTTGTAAGATTTTGTAAGATTTGTAAAGAGCTCTCTTTCTCACACCTTTTCTCGTCGTGTAATACATACTGTGTAATGCATGATTTATGTACTGTGTAAACGTCCGATCGTGATAGTAGACGTGCCAACGTTAACGTTTGATCGTTCTACTGTTCACATTTAGCTCGTCCGTCCCTTGTAAATACGCGTAAAACACGCGCTATTGTAACATTGTGACTAAAAAAAATAAAAAGAAACTATTGATAAGATTCAGTCCGTCGCAGATAAAGGTATAGCAATAAGGTAGCAATATTCTTATGAGTCTGTGTGTGTGTGCGTATGTTGTTAAGCAAAGGAGTACTTTGCGTGAAACGAAAAGAGAACAATTTTTATAAAATCGCTGCGACAAAGTTCTAACAAATTCAACATCTTCTGTTGCATTTTTTATTGTTTTGCTTTTTCCAAATATAAAAAATTTAAAACTTTTCAGAGAACTTGAAAAATTTTTCTAGAAAAAGCTGTTGCATATAAATTCCATATTAAACAGTAATTATATTTAGTATAATGATAATAAAACTGAGAATATACTTTTAATTCTTAATTCTTTTTGCCTTTGAATTTTTGCATACACAATTGATCGAAATTATATTATGCAAATATTGCTTTTTATATGAGCAAGATAAATATTTTTTCTTAATGATAATCTCTTCTGGGCAATTAGTCGTAGCCATATCTAGGTACAAAATTAATGCAATCTGATCCTTTAAACGCAATCTGATCTGAAATGTTATTTTTCCGGATTTTAAAGTCTTGCCTATCTACACCCCCGATCGCCAGACACGCGATTGCGAGTGTGCGTGCGTGATGTGTATTACCGCTAGACTTTTCTATAAACGGTGTAAGGTTCGGTAACATATGCTAATCACACTTACGACGACTAAGAGAGCGCGTGTGGGTTGCGGGCTTTTGGTGCAGGTCTGGCGGCATGCAGTGCAGCGGCGGTGGTCGCGCAAGCTCAGGCAGTTGCAGTGCAACAGGCGCAACAGCAAGGCTCGGGACTTGCCGCAGGTTTAGCGGCGCTAGGATACGGCGGTTCCCCGCTCGGGGCACTGGGCTCACCTGCCCAACTGCAGAACACAGGTATATTATCGTCGCGCCACGAACGCGCTTTATCCCCCCCCCCCCCCTCCGAGTGTCACTCCCGATTTTATTCGAAGAGAATTCTCTCCACTTTCAGGAAAATAGCGTGCTTTTTTAATCCCTTCGAGTGCATATTTGTTTCCAGCTTTTCAGTGAAAGATTTATGTTTACGTTGTTAAATGAAATAATAATTATCTGTTGTAAAGCTTTCTGTGAATATGTAACATGTAATATCTCTCATTGTAAAAATTGATTATCGCGTGTTCTAATTGTTTGCTCATAATTGCAGAGTATGATAAAAGGACCACGGGTCAATTCCACGTAGAAATATTGAATTACATTTGTGCGTGTGTGTGTTTAACTATATATTACTATGTATATATAATTTAAAAGGAAACATTTGGAATAACAATTGTTGAACATTGTAATTTAATCGCTTTTTTTCTGCAGACCGAGAATTCTCTTTGGCTGTTTATATTGGTGGTGTATACGGATTTTCATGTACAAAAAAAAAAAAAATAACGTAAGGTGTTTGCATGCTTCACACGATTTAATTGATTTGTAAATTCATGTCGATTCCCTCTCTTAGTGACGTGCCTTTCTCAGTAGAGCGTTTGTGCCGATTTGTTCTTAATACATTCGACATATGACGTCTTTTTATGCTTGATACCGGTTGCTTTCGAGCACCCCGTGTTAAGATGACGGTGTTCGTCTTGTGTGCAGGTTTAGGCCTCGGTGCGTCTTCAACCGGCAGACGAGATTCCTTTGATAGAAATACTTCAGCCTTCAGTCCAAGCTTGGAATATAGCCGGGCGAAGTGGCCTCAGAGTTACGGCGCCCTCGGTAAGAACTGCTTTGTTGTGTGTGAAATATATTCTGATATACAGGGTGTGAGGCATCTAAAACGGTATATTTTGAATACTCTTGTTGCGCGGAAGGATATGGAGGGAAATAACGATAACGAGAATTTAAGAATTATTTTTGCTCCGTTTATATTTTTTCTTGGGGGGGAAAAAAAGAACTAAACCAACTTTTCTTATCGTTTTCTTCCCGTATGTTGGTGCGCAATGAGAATATCTTCCAAGATTTGAATGTACCATTTTAGACACCTATACACGACTGTGAGGCATCTCGGAATCGCCATAGACGCTCGATTACCTATGTTGTACATTGTGTCTATGATATGTCGTGATTCATTTGTACACATAATGTGCTTTTGTATACATAACTCGGCTATGGTAACAACACCACCCTTTTCTCTAAATTGATCGTATATGTACAAACCATGTTGCGTCCTGATACCTGAAACGCCTAGACTAGAAGTGAGTAAGCGTCCGCAAGGACGACTGGTTTAGAGCGGTCAGTGTGTGCCATTTACAATTTGTAGCGATTTTAACATAACTGCGGGACTTACTTAGTCTCCATACATTGTACATTGCTTCTATAAAAAGATGTACAGTGTATATTCGTGATCATTGAGATAAGAAGTACTCTATTCTCTAGATACAGGTACTAGGAACAATATATACCTAGATGCAGGTTCTTGGGACAGAATGTCTAATCTAACTACAGATACAAGTACTCTCTGCAAGGAGTACATAATTACAGACACAGGTACAGATTGAGTATATTTAATAAAAGTTCTTAGGCACTTTACTTTTTATATAATTTCAGAAAATTTTGGAGTTAATTTTTACTCGAAATGTCCAAGGATCAATAGTTTTTGAATAATTAGTGATGAAACATATGTTTAAACGTTGATCTTTAATAGTGCAAATAATTTTTTTTTATTATTATTTAATTGCGCCAGCATAACCGAAATTACTGAGAATATATGAAAAATAAATAAAAAGATACTACAAAGTGTCGAAAAAAAATCTTGTTATGCATGCTAAGGTTAAACAATAGATACAGCTACTTGAAGGAGTAAATCTATAGATAGAGATACCTAAAGATTTACCTAGGCACAAAAGAAACGTGTTTGTATTTGGATAGAAGCAAAAAAAATTTGCAACACTTGTATCGCTTGGTTTTCTTTTTTTAACATGTCTCTTCGATTTGTTATGCAGGTACAGTCACCGCGTCACCGAGTCCCTTGGGATTGTCATTAACACCACCGCCAACTTTAGGAGGATCTCTGGGTGGTCTTGTAGGAGGAGCCAGTAGAGTATCAGCCGCCCCCGGTGCTGAAGCCAAGTTTCGTGCGAGTGCGGTTCCCGCCCTGACAGCCAACGGAGTGTTTGGCTCTAGTAGCTCTCTATTCCCCAATCTCGTAGGCAAACCGGGCCGCGGTGGTGCCGCTAACATTAATGACAAAAATACTGGAGGACGATCTCGTCTGTTGGAAGATTTTCGAAACAATCGGTTAGTAAAATGTGAAATTTTTTAACCATATTAATTAAATCGTAATCTTTCGTATTTAAAAATGGATTTTATAATGTAGTTGATTACGAGACACAGCTGCCTATTAATTTAGAAACGCAAAAAGTTCTCCGATAATAAATTGCTTCGAATTTTCATATTAATTATTACCGAATACAATATGTACATGTTTTTTTTTCCTCAGGTTTCCTAGTCTTCAACTGCGCGATTTGGCTAACCACATAGTGGAATTTAGTCAGGATCAGCATGGTTCGAGATTTATTCAACAGAAATTGGAACGAGCTTCGGCTAGCGAAAAACAGCTTGTGTTCCAAGAGATTCTCTCTTCCGCGTATTCTCTGATGACAGATGTCTTTGGAAATTACGTAATTCAGAAATTCTTTGAATATGGCACACCGGAACAAAAATCAACTTTAGCTCAAAAAGTAAGTTTCAGTTACATAAAAAATTATTTTTCTTCAGAAGAGTTGAAATTTACTCATTTTGATTTACTAACTATTGACATTTTTTTTCACTATGATTTGCACTGATATTAAATGTGATGAGACATTTTGCGTGTCATCTGATTCGATGTGATTATGCATAGAATAATCTGATGATTTATCAAATAATTATATGAAGAACATCCACAAATTCCTCGTTTGACTTTTTGTTTATGTCAGGTTCGCGGGCATGTCTTACCACTCGCACTGCAGATGTACGGATGCAGAGTCATACAGAAAGCTCTCGAGTCGATCGGACCGGAACAGCAACAGGAGATCGTGCGGGAACTGGACGGACATGTGTTGAAGTGTGTTAAGGATCAAAATGGAAATCACGTTGTTCAGAAGTGCATTGAGTGCGTTGAACCGCGAGCATTGCAATTCGTAATAGGAGCATTTGCTGGACAAGTATATTCTTTGAGCACGCACCCGTACGGCTGTCGAGTGATCCAACGCATTCTTGAACACTGCACTCCCGAACAAACTCAAGGGATATTGCAGGAGTTACACGCTGCCACTGACCAACTCATTCAAGATCAGTACGGCAATTACGTCATACAACATGTGCTTGGTAAGTATCATTACTTTTTTTTACATCGATATCGATGTCAAAGTGATAAAAATTTGCATACTTTTAGTGCGTTATTTAATTTATTGTTACATTATTATCGAATGCTACTATTGTTGCTTGTGAAAAATATATTCCTACTCATTGATCATTGATCATTTTATCATGTAATAAAGATGTAATAATTAATATTACTGAGATGATAAAAATAATCGCTTTCGCAGAACACGGAAAGCCCGAAGATAAAGCACAATTAATCAGCAGTGTTAGAGGCAAAGTGCTCGCTCTTTCTCAGCATAAATTTGCAAGTAACGTAGTCGAAAAGTGCGTGACTCATGCTACAAGACAGGAACGCGCTGTACTGATCGAAGAAGTTTGCGGCTTCAACGACAAGTGAGTGCAATTTTATGCGCAATACGTAAAAAGATTTGATGTAGATGTCGAATTGATGAAGATAACATGTCTTATTTTTGGTTTCTCTTTCGATGAACAGTGCACTGAACGTAATGATGAAGGATCAGTATGCCAATTATGTCGTTCAGAAGATGATCGATGTTGCGGAGCCAGCACAGCGCAAGGTGCTGATGCACAAGATCCGTCCGCATCTGGGAAGTCTGCGCAAGTACACCTACGGCAAGCACATTATTGTCAAGCTGGAAAAGTTCTTTATGAAGACGGCCTCAGCGATGGGAGTGGGAGCGACACCCTCTGGTACATCGACAAGCGGTGGAGGTGGCGATCTCGGTCCGATCGGGCCACCCGCATCCGCTGCGTCCGGCCCGGTTTCAACGTCGAGCCAACCATCAACGCAGGTTTTATAAACGCGCATGCATGAGGATATCTTCGTCGCGGAAAAAAAGAAGAAAACACATAATAAAGAGGCAAGCAGAACTACAATACACGTTGCAAACACGCGTTACTACCCCACTTTTACTTTACCGAGATCTGTTCTTCTATTTATCGACAAGAATGACAAACTTGGAATGACGATCACTCGTTTTTATCTCGTTTTGCCTTACGTTCTCGAAGATGGAAGGAAAAGAAAGAAAAAAAAACAAAAAATTTTCGAACATTGTTTCACGCGAGAAATTTGCCAATATACAATTTTTATTATTTTTGAAGTAGCGAATATTTGTATACCAGCTTCTTCGAGATCCGGGTAATACGAGATTACGACGTACGAGTTCATCTTAAAGAGAACTATAAGTCAGTAGAAACGAGGATAGATACGTTGTAGTGCATTTTTTTGTTATTTTATAAAACATACTCCTGCGCAGAGGAGTGTCACGCGCATAGAGATATTCACATTACTGCAGCATACAAAGTGGAAGTTGCACTATTATTTCCGGTTGAAAAATATTTCTCACGGTTGATTCGACGAATTTCAGGTACATTACGACCAATTGCGAACGCTGAGTTAAATTCGTTGGCTGTTTTGTATCTTGTAAGATTCGTTAAAATTCGTAAAAATCGAAAGAGGAAAGTCGCTCGATTACTAGATTGTCGTACAGAGCAGTTAGGCTTGGATTAGATGTTGTGTCATCTCGTTAGACATTTCAAAATAAAGTAGAGCTCTATTCCAATGAGAGTGATTAAAATGAAGAAGCATTACCGATAGTCAAAGCGCGGCTCATTGAGACTATACTCGGCGAACATATTAAGCAGGCTTCTACGAAGACGATACGGTAAAATCACGGAGTTTTAGACAGTTAGGTCTTAGTGCTGCATGCATTTATATCGACTTGTATGAGGGTTGTAACAAACATACACACATACACAAACACACGCGCGCACACACATACATACATACACACACACACACAACGTTACGCGTATGTGTGACGTTCCCGATCTCGCGTATACCGCGCCGCTTCCTCTTTTACACACAATTGCTGCTTTAGTATTATTTTTAACGCGCGGTATGCATCAGATCGACGAGTCCGCAGACGAAAGAATAAGGTGAAACTTGAGAAGTAGAAGTTTAGGAGTTATAGATATGTTGTTTAAATGTAGCATAGCGTTTGACATGGGAATGAAAATCGGGCACCGACCCTTGGACTTGACCTGGACCTGACTACCAATCTCTCCCCTTGAGACTACTTGGAACGTTCACACAAAAGAGCGATTATTTCGTTGTTAGTTTCCCCTCTTTCTCTTCTTCCCCTTCTTATTTTAACCTTTAAAGGTTCTTTTCATTTTTATTTTTTTTTTTTTCTTTTCTTTTTACTTTAATTTTTGAATATGATTACGTGACATATGCAGAGACGAAGAAATAAGCAAAATGAGACAAGAGCTGTTTCAGACGCCGTCGTTCTCTTTTGTTCATTTTTACGTTTGTCACTTTTGGAGCAAGGAAATACTTTTCCCCTACTCCTTTTCGCCTTTTCTTATTTTCCGCTGCCCTGTATTCCATTCCTCGAAACCCTTTTGAGATCCTCGAATTTTGTAAATTGTGATATAAATAAATAACAAATGTGTATAGGTACGAATATCCGAAATACGCGAGGACCGATAAATTCAATGAATATTTTATTTCTCACGGGAACTTTTCTCCCCCTACTTTTGACAGAGTCTGTGAATACTGTATATTATAATAATTACTAATTATATTAAATTTAAATATGATTTACGTTCTAATGCTGCTGTCCTAACCAATGAGTTACGCTCCTCTCTCCGCTCTCCGATTCATCCAATTTTACATTTTTTCGAAATATCCAATTGTAATATAATAAACATTTTTCACATCAAGTCATGCTAGACAAAAAAAATATATATACATATATATATAGAGAGAGAGAGATATTGATTTCCCTCTATTGCCCCTATGATAATTTGCAGCTATCCTTTTGAACGTAAAACCGAAGACCATTGTACATTGTATAAATGATATAACGCGTTCTTGAGAAAAAGTATCAGGAGATCGTGCACAATGCATATGTATCTATAATTCGTTCGCGCTATTTTCTCTTCTTTATCTCTTCAGATATGCATATAATGCATTCGATACACGTACACACGGAACATTTCGATTGTATTATAGACGACGGTTGGAAGAAAAAGAGCGGCATACTCGGCCATTTTCAATGGGATCGCACACGCGTGTTTTACTAAATAAGGAACGCAAAGAAATGCTGTTAACGTAAGAACATTTGTGGACAAACTTATACATAATTTTTTCTCGATTATCAATCGCTTGTACAATGTATAATATATTTCGTTGATGTTAGATGTTAAATATTTAGAAATTGGAAAAAAAGAAACACGTGACTTGTCAGAGCAACTTGATTAAACGTTTGCTACATGATTCTGTACAAAAGGAAAAAGAAAAGTATAGCTTAAGGAAGAGAGAAGAACGTAGCAACTTTCTTTGTAAAATATTGTAAATAACGATTTATTAATGAATTTGACAAATTCTTAAGTACCTCTTCTCTCTCTCTTCCTCTTTCGTTTTATTCGAAGCGATTACTCTCGTTGAAACATCATTAAGAGAGGATAGCAAACGAGCTATAATAACGTGACGAAAGTAAACGCAGTATTGTTGATTGATATCGAAAGGCAAATACTCGAGCGATTCAAAATCTTGTTCCTTTGCAAAAGTGATCGTTCCGAAAATTGCTGAGGATACGCGCTCGCTCGCTACATATTATATACATACATATACACAATACACACAATTGACATGCTGTAAAGAGGCGAGATGTATGGTTGATAAACCTCTTTCGAATATAGATAGACATTCCAACCGCCTCCTCATCCTCAGTCGACAGGACGCAAGACCTGTGCACACCGTTAAAACGAAGCGAATTATATAAATAAAAGCGGGAACCGTGTAAAACGTGTTTATAATATTTAAGAAAAATGACGAGAAAATAGTTCCTTCATCCCTGTAACAATCGCGCGCGCGCGCACATCATCTGTAAATTAAAGGTCGAGACAAACCGCGCCTCTCATCTGTAATAGTTCCATCAATCATCTGTCAAATTGCGCATAAAGAAAACGAGGTATAAATTAAACGAGAAGACGTTACAAAAACGATATGAAGCGAAAATCGAACACAAAATCTCTCATGTCTTATTAGCTAACGTAAGATTATCGATTTACCTATCATACTTTTATTACCTATTATTATATTATGATATTGTATTATTACCATTATTATTATACTCTATTGAATATTATTTGATTAACAGTCCCCTTTCCTCTTTGATTACTTATTTTCGCTACTACTAATTGCGATAAGCATATGTAAATATATGCATATATTAGAGTTGCACGTATATACGTATATATACATATGCGCATGCATATATAGACATATACATATATATATATATATATACGCATGTAAGCTCGGCACATGTAACACATTTATAAATATGATATAGCATATTTCGAGTACATTTCTCATTAATCTTTACGATTGTCACGTTTCTCCTCTCTTTTCCCCTGATGATAAAATCTCTATCTCTTGAGAATTTTTTGGTATGAACGTTTAGGGATAGAAATCACATTATCTAGTAGCTCTGTCGTCGTATATCTACTTAAGCCCCCCCTCCCACCCCCACCTCTGTACCAGAAGGAAAAAAAGGAAAAGAACTTCTTATCGATTTTTAATTATAAATAGTGTAAATTTTTTATATAGTGCGAAAATACGATATCGTCGATGAGAAGCTGCTCTCACGAGTAAATGCGTTTATTGTATGTAAAAGAAAAAAAAAAAAAGGAAAAAGGAAAGGACCGGTGAAATCACATGATTTTAATTCGTCCTTTATTCGCTTTATTGTATCTTTCATCAGATATATATCCACCGAAGCGTCGGATTTACAAATCACGTTGATCCTAAACTACGTTCAGTTTTAAAATTTTATTAACCCGCCGTACAATTTTTTTTTTCTTCTATGAACATGTAAATTAACGGTTTATTATATATATATACTGCTTTTGGCGAGTCTCGAATATCGTGATTTGTAAGCCGCATAAGCTCGGCATAAGTTTCGCTAGTGAAAAAGAAGCAAAGGGAGAAGCAGCTTACTTATGTTATTCGATTTTCCATGTAAACTTTGCAACTTTTTCTGCTGCTCCTTTAGTGTGACGGTGTGAGGAGATTCAATGACAAAAATATTTTAAAGCGACTTGCTTCAAAACAGTATGCGAAAGCGAAAATATGCTTTTATTAAATGGGAAGACAAAATTATGTTAATGGAATATTGCTGTATATACAACGGATTCAATTTGTTTTTATCAGTGAAATTGGTAAAAATGGAGAGAGATATCAAAAAGGCAAATTTTGCAAATGTAATATATTTTTTACTTATCTCATCAAAACATAACTTTCAACTCAAATGCCAAGTGCCAAGCTTTTTTCAGTCTTTATTATATATTTTCATATGTAGGAAAAATATGAAAAATTCAAACATTTGAAGCTTGAGATTATTATTTTAAGCCTGAAATGTTTTAATTTTTCATATCAATTACTAATAATTAATTAATAATAACTAATTACTAATAATTTTACATATAAAATATAAATATTTGTTGTAATTAAACATTTGAGTTTGTTATATACAGCGATATTGCACCGAAGGTACAACGTTGCAATGATGAAATATGTTATGCACAACTATTTTAATATTTATATTTTAGGGCGAATTATTTTTTTTTTCTTCCCGCTGCTTTATCTTTTTTCTTTCTGTGTTCTCTCTTGAATCTTTTCTGCCGCTTCTCTATTCTTTGAGAATCGACTTGCAGCACGATTGAAAGAAAAAGGCCCCCCCGCCTTTTTCTCACCGGGACATTAAAACATTAAGGCAACAGATTAAACAGCTCTATAAATATTGATTATACATATATATAAATATATGTATACATATATATATATCTGTATATGTATATCTATAAGCCTTATCGGTATGATATATATATGTAATAAGTACTATTTAAATATTGTAACAATTGTATATGATTTTAATACTACACGCTAATTGTATCATATATATATGAAAGATCTGCGACCTCCCACTTTGCAGACATATACAGACAAAAACATACAAGGACATAAAGAGCAGGCGCACATTTACACAGACGGCACATCGTACTCATGTACGCACGTAGAACACTGGACATAGACACGAGCACGCGTATACACACGACACTACACGCGCATATTTGCGAAAGTCGATTGTGCAATTTTAAGACAGTTGGAAAAGAAATTGACATTGTTGACACACTTCGATTGCCCATGTTCATCTCACACCCACTGGATTCAACTGCCACGGCGCTGGTATATGAACAGTTGTTTGCTCGAATAAAAGGCCTTTCCTTAAAAGCCTTCTTTCGAATATCGTCGGACTTGAGGGAAAATTCACCGACATTTCAAAAATTCGGTCTTTGAGCTTCGGTCGGAGCGCGTATTTCAAAATAATATTATGTAATATTTAATAATCACTCGATATTATTATATCATACGTAATATAAATATAATAGTTATTAGATGTAAGGTTTTCAAGTTTTAATTACATGCAGATTTACGCGAGAGAATTTTGATAACATCTTCAAAAATGTCATCCGTTTAAAGAGATTATTTAATGGGATTTTCACCTTAAGACCGGCGATATGTAAAATCGTATAGAGGGATAAGCAAGAGAACATCAACGGGAATGGTGCGCCCTGATATTAAGACTGATGTACAGTAGCGCGCTATTCTCATCATTTTCATGATCATGCTCTTTCTCCTCCACATCCACCACCGACACAACTGCTTATACACGCGGATAACACAAACACAACAATATGGAATCGCAGGGCTAACTAAGTATATATATATATTTCGTATATATACCAAAAAAACATATATATATTAAATATATATATAAATATCTCGTATATATATTTGTCTGATATATGTCATATATGTATGCGTAACACTGTTCGTATCCATCACTGGCTCCTATAGTGTGCTCGAATGTAACGTTATCGCGCAAGAAAAGAGAAGACGAGAGATGTCTCTCCCAGAATTGTGTCTTCGAAGCATACTCTACGTTGAAAATTTTATTGCAAAATTTCACGATCGGATGTACTGTTCGCTGGTCGTTCAAATGTTTTGATTAATCGGCTCCGATCAAATTGGATTCGCAAACGCGTTAAATTCCTCTTATCTCGAAACTTGAAGCGAAAGAATTGTTATTTCGCTAAAATATTCGTGTAAAGTACACATCGATATACGGGCCAGTGGTGCTGTCTGAGACACATACACATACACACACACGATAGATGCAGAGGGAAATGAAAGAAAACAAGCTGCAAAAAGTGTATCCCATATTAGCAGATAATTAGATAAGTGAGACGGACAGGCATACGGATTAAAAAGGCAAAATCACATAACTTGTATATTAGTGTATAGAACGTAGAGATGATGAAATAGCCATTGAAGAAAAAAAAAGGATCATTTTCGACAATGTTTTTTACAAACAGTCAGAACAGTGCAAATAGATAAAAAGAATAAAAAACGTCATTGTACCATTTAAGCGAAAAAAAAAAGAAAGAATACGAATAAAACGAGAGAGCATTTTTCGGAGATAATCTTACAAATGCATTAAATATGCGTGGACGAAATCTTCGTTATTCCGCCACTTTATAAAAAAAAGACACGAAAAAATTATGTACACAGCCGTCGTGATAAAAGAAACAGTTGGAACAGTAGATTCGTTTGATGTAAAATTGTAAAACACCAGGCGATAGAGCTTTATCACACTCGTCAAATTTTCAAGATATTTCGAGAAATTATTATTTAAATCACACACAGCTAGAAACAGGTACAATTATCGTCGGTTTTTGTTGAGAAGCATTTTTTATTTTCTTTTGTTCATTGTTTCGTCGTTTTCTCGGATTTACATTTTTTACTTTATTTCGGAATTGTTCACTCAATCATAACATGATTTCGAGAGTTTGCGATGCGGTGCAGTGCGGAAATGGTGCGATTTGATTGTTTCCTGTAATTAATTAACATTAATTACCGATTTTAATTATATATTAATGCGAATAACGATAAGTCGAAGATGAACATGCGAAATAACATAAGAGTCAAGTTTTCGGAGATGTGATTGTGCAAAATTCAATTAGATCTATAAAATCAATTACAAAATTTCACTGTACAATATCATAGCGCGATTTTACTGATTAGAACACAAACATAAATAGAAATTTATAATTTTTATTGTTTATTTTAATTTTTATCTTTAAAGCGATAACGCTCTTCTTGAAATGTGATCGTAATATAAGGACGTAAGAATATCTATATCGATATGAGTGAGGGAAAATTATTTTTTTTTTTTTCAGTTTTGAAAGCAATTTTATATGAATTTAGAAGTCCCCGTTACGTTTGCATTTTGGGGATTTTCATTCTTAATTTTTTTTATCGCAGATAGCTACAAATTCACCAAATCGTTCCGGATCCTTGCCCATTCGTGAACTGATTTTGCTTATTTTGTTCTATGATTATCGACTTTCATTTTATCGTGTATCTCTATTGTATGTTTTTGATTTTATTTGTTTGTTTATTTGAGTTATTATCAAAGACGATTGCA